AATATGTAAATTAATAATAGAGTTAATGACTTACCCAATGTCGCAGTCACAGTAAAATAGCTTCCCCTCACCGTGAGTTTCAATAGAAATCGTTTCCCTGGCACGCCTGGCTTGTATCCATTAGATGGATTGTGAAGTGTTCGCACGTCATTATGGCGAAGATGAATCGTCACATTCCTTACCCATTCTGCATTATCAAACATTTGCTTGGGCACAGTGCTCACACTAGTATTGTACATTCCAAAATGTAAGTGTGGATTTCTTATACCCTGGGATAGATATGAAAATCAATTTTTTTAATTAATTGATTATAATTCTTAACTTAATAATTAAATTAATAATTAATAATTTATTGCGATGTTTCTAAATTTATCTTCTATTTCTTTTTGTTCAATAAAAAGTACATTTAATAATAAAAAATCAGAATTAGATACATACTCGCAATATATCCGAGTCTATATCCTTTAATGCTTGACCTGTCAACGTTATATTGAATAATTTGTTAGGAAATTTTCCTCTCATTTCTTTTTCCAAATTCGTATCATTTTGTACCTACAACAATATATAAATATTTTTAATCGATAAATTGAAATATAAACTTTGTACTTTATAAAAAGATTTTAAAAATATAGCAAAGAATATAGCTTCTTATTTATAATATTTTACACGTACATCGATGACCAAATGCCTTAAGCCGTGATTGTACTCAAGAATGTTGGGAAAATTGAAATTCTTCACACCATTGTAAGCAGTTATATATAACTTACGAAGTTTCGTAGCTTTACAAAGTGCTCCGCTCTATTGAATTTGATTTCAATGGAAAAAAAATATAATATTTTAATTTTATAATTTAACTTTACTGGCAACTATCGTGTTTAAATTTTTTCGATGTAAGAAACTTACTTCGAATGTCAATAAAGATAATCGTCGTATATCCAATTCCTCAAGGCTATCTGCAATACCTAAGAAACTAGTATTAGTAACAGCTGTGATTGGATTATCGGCCAAATTAAAAGTTTTTAACTCGGGTAAGGTGTGCGTGATCAATGGCACCACTGTTAGATCGTTGGCACTCAGATCTAAATAGTGAAGAGATGTTAAGTTCGATGCCATTTCCGGTGGTATCGATGCCAACTCGTTGTGTGCCAAGTACAACGTTTGCAATCGTCTTAATGGCAATTCTGGCACCTTTAAAAAAATATAGATATTCTTTTCAAATTCAAATTATTTTCAACGAATGTGTTTATGCCAAATATAATAAACATACATTTAAATAATACGTACACTTAAAAGCGAAATGTTGCTTAAATCAAGATATAAAAGCGAGTCCTCTAAGCCATGAAATGTTCTTCCACGTGATTCCAAAAGTAATTGTTTATTGTGACTCAAGTCTAGATGAGTTAGATATGATAAATCAGAGAATACCCCATCGTCGAGCCTGACCAATCGATTGTAAGACAAATCTAACCATGTTAAACTCTGAAAGAAATTCGAATTGTATGTTTTGACATGCGAAGAATTAATTTTAAAGAAATATCACTTTTATACATTTATAATAATGACTTATTTCTTCTCGAACAAAATATAAAGTTTAACGATTAAATTTCTTTAAGATATACATGTATAGGATATTAATATATTGGGACTCTTCAGAGAATCGACTCTAAGTTAAAACGAATGCAAAAGTTGTTATACAAAAATATTTATTTATTAAGTTATAAGCAAATTTAAATTTGCATTGGATGAAACTAGACAAAGCGAGATGTCCGTATGATATAGAGTTATCTCATTCTATTTTCGTTTTCATTTAACTTCAATAATAAATAAATTAATGAATAAATCTCTAAGTTTATATCAATTTTTTTGTTTACCTTGACTTTTAGAATCAATCCTCCGAAAATATTCAACAAATAGATTAACATACTTATACTTTTCAAGAAAAAAACTACGAGACATTAAAATTATTTAAAAGCTAATTTATAATGAATTTATAAATATGAAATTTATTCGTTTGAATTTTTTGCTCATGAATTAAAATTATTTTTTAGAATATGTCAAACTGACTCGTAGTCTAAATATGGCGTCAGTAGTATGAATTCCAGAGAGTGTGTTCCAAGATAAATCCAACATGGATAAACTGGCAGCCGCCGAGATAGACATGGTTTTTGTGGGTAATCTCATAAATTGATTATGAGACAGATCCAAACTCTCGATATTAGCTTCGGAAAACATATTATCCGGCAACGTTCTCAGCTTATTATGAGAAAGATCAATGATCCTTAACTTCTTCAGTGGTCTAAATGCCTCTGCTGGAATGTCCATGATATTGTTCCAAGATAGGAAGAGCACTTGGATATTTTTCGTGTTTCTGAAGCAATCGAAGTCGATTTCCATCAACTCGTTGTGACTAAGATCGAGCCATTGCAAGTGTGGCATATTTCCGAAGACGCCTTGAGTGACGTTGGTCAGTTGGTTTTGAGCCAGATAGAGATGCG